CCCTTCCCCCTTTTGCGTATTGGAGCCTAGGCGATGACTACGTGGCCGCGTATACCATGTTTGCACCTGAGATGTGGCAAGCATTTGTGAATAATGTTATGTTGTTTTGATTGTGTGTTGTTTGTGCAGAGCTAAAGAACAGGCAATTGAAGGAGAGAGAAGGGCTCGCGATCACAAAGAGACCCTTTCACACTCTCATGTACTGCTGTTTGGCTCTTTATGAGTACACGGCGGAGACCGTAAAATACCTTGCACGACAAAGATTGCTGCAGTTTAGTGTTTTGCTATCGCTTCTTGTTGGCGGGTCGTTGATTGCATTTGATGGGCTGGATCATGAGGTGAACTCGTTGCTTCCATCATACTGGCAGCCCAGTTTTCTATCTTGTCTCAATCAGGCCTGTCGTTCTTGATTCTTGATTCGATAATCTCACTGGCATCTTGGCCTATGATGATCTGCCAGCGGTCAATTCACTGACCCAGATAGTAATGCTTGCTTTCGTCTTGCATGCGGAGTTTTATGGATGGATTCTCCGATCTCGATAACCCGTCCTTCCCACCCACAATTACCTGCCACATGTTTTTGTTTCTTTTTCGTATTCTGTGCTGTTTGCATCTTCCTTTCCCTCTCTCTCTCTCTGTGGAATATCGAAATTGTCAGACTTTGTCCTTCTCTTTTCCAGAGCCTAATTGATGACTTCATGCGCTGTCAAAGCTGTAGTCCGATGTTGCGACTACTGAGCGGCATATGGAAGGTTTGTTGTGATTATAAAAGGTATATAGGACTCTACTCTACGGAAAGAAAAAGGACAAGTATATCAACTTATTTCCCCTTCTCTCTGTCGCCAGAATAGCCCGTCAGAGCGTACCTGGACTGTAAACCAAACCAGGTGGTGCATTCTCGTGTCTCTGTGGGTGTGCAATGGCCATCCACATCCCATTAACATCGTACTGTTTCTTCTCTGTTTAGACATGGGCGTCGTCGGTTATTCGCCGTCTGAAAAATGCGAGGATCTGACGGGGAACCTTGGGAAACACCAGGAAAACAAAACCAGGAGAGAAGTTATTGGTGTGTGGTACGCAGAGAATCCCAGTAAGATTTACCAATCACAAGTCAGAATCATCGGATCGATATGCAATGACTGTCAGAATCATCGGATCAATATGCAATGACTGTGGTCAGCCTGATTTGTATTGATAATGTTTTGTGGCTCTTGCGGTTTTGGGGCTAAGAAGAAGGATGTGAGGTGGAAAGAATGAAGGCTGCATTGCCGCCAGATGGCTTAGTTACCTGACATGCATGGGTTGCTTGGCTGTGGCGACATTGGTTCTTGTGCAGTTTGTGGGCGAAGCCGTTTCATATTTGCGATTTGTTGTTTGGTGGGTAGGACTTGGCGTGGCATCCTCCATTGGTCTAGGTAAGCAAGCCGTCTTCCCATCCGATTCTATGCCTCTTGGGTATCTGTCGTGTTGATTGGGTTGGTGGTGTCATAGATCGTTGTTGTCTTTGGCTTCGCTTTGCGGCGATTGGAGATCTCGTTCTCCTTGTGGCAAGCCTACCGTCTTCCGCCGAACACAATGCACCCTCATTTTGGCTGTATCTGGCCGGAAATATAACTTGTATACATTCATTTTCAGGGTGCGTTATGTTTGGGGGAAGACGGTAGTCAGGTCCAAGGGGGAAAGTGAATTGAAATTCGTTGGTGCTTCAGTATATGTCTCTACTATATTGGGCAGTGAAGGGGAAGGAGAATGATCAAGGGATTTTTGCATACTGCTCATAGAGGGAAAGAAAATGGCAGGCAATGAGTTTCTTGCATGATTGATGTATATGATATCGGCTCCGTTCTGGTGAAAATTCCTTGATGGCCGTATTCGTCGAATGAATCCTCTACAGCAAACGCTGCTGCAAACATATCTGTAATATAATCTCTGTGTCATGCAGTTGTTGCAGCTGTCCTTTCGTTTTGGAGATTGTCGATAGCCTCACGCGTGCGGTCTTTTGGATCCTGACGTGCGAACTGCTTTATACGTCAGGATGAGGAACAAACAAACAAGCATGTTTGCTGTCCTCTGCTTTGACGATGCGGGGTCAGTTGTCTATACCAACGCGATTATAATGCATGCATGCCAGGAAGCCAGGAAGTGGTCCATGGAGAGGGCTGTTTTGAAATCTGCCGGTGGCGCCAAATCTCACGTGTGCGTGGTTCCCAGGTTGAGTCTGATCTGTTTGTCAGGGTCAGCCAGTGGACCTGTTCACTGGTTAAACTGTGGAATTTCCAGCATCTTGATAAGTTGGTAAAAGCGTAGCTGCACAGTCTGGCACAGCCTGCGTTTCTTTATGTCCTCTTTCTCTCTCTTTCTCTTTCTCTCTTTCTTTCTCTTTCTCTCTGTCTCTTTCTCTCTGTCTCTCTATCTTTCTCCCTCTTTCTCTCCCTCTTTCTCTCCCTCTTTCTCTCTATCTTTCTCTTTCTCTCTCTTTCTCTCTCTTTCTCTTTCTCTTTCTCTTTCTCTTTCTCTTTCTCTCTCTCTCTCTTTCTCTCTCTTTCTCTCTCTCTCTCTCTTTCTCTTTCTCTCTCTTTCTCTCTCTTTCTCTCTCTCTCTCTCTCTCTCTCTTCTGTGAATGGATATTACTGTGGTATGTGATCTCTCTCTCTTTCTCTCTCTCTCTCTCTCTCTCTCTCTCTCTCTCTCTCTCTCTCTCTCTCTCTCTCTCTCTCTCTCTCTCTCTCTGTGTGAGTGTATATTACTGTGGTATGTCATGTGTAGATGCTTGTTTGAGTCTCCTTGTTTGAAATTTGAATGTGTGCGTGGAGAACATTGGCTGGCCGGGTTGACGTGGCTGTGCTCCATTTCTGGTTGTCATTGTTTTGCTGTCTTCACCAAGGCTCCGGTTTGCACACATTCGTGCTGTACTTGGGGCCACACATTGCACAGTTTACTATGAAGGCAACCCAGTGTGGACGAGTGGATTTAAAGCAGGCTGTTTACGATACGGCGCATTGGGCCACAGAGTCCACATGGGGTGGAAAGGATTGCGATGGATTTGGTCCAGCTATGTACCCACACTTTCCAGAGAGGCATGGAGGTTATAAAGTTCCGCTTTGGATGGTGTTGAGACAGGTGCAACCTGAGGCTATTCTCTGGGGCCTTGGAACTGCCCTGGGCGAGCTTCCTCCATACTTCGTTTCCAGAGCAGGTGCACACCACCTCATTGACTACCCCCTCCAAATGTCTTCACCCTCGGTCCCATGTCGTGTTTCCAACGCTTGGCAGGCAACTGCATCAATCAATAGGGTTTCAGGAAAGAACCATGTTGGTTTCTGTCGCAAGAGAATTTCCACGAACAAACTGTGTACTTGGGCTAACCCAGGGCACAGGTGCACAAGTGATTGTTTGTTGTTGACCTCACTGATATCAAATTTCAACCACCACACTTTGGGAAGGACAATGGGGCCTTTTTCCTCTGGTTTACCAGCTTACGAAAGGGCATACTATCCCATTCTTATTCTTTTCCTTTCTCAAGTTCTCTCTTTTCAAATGTGGGATACCAAGTAAGTGCATGCGTGTTCACACTAGGACCTTTTTACTTGTGGATGTCATGGGGCCTTTTTCCTCTGGTTTACCAGCTTACGAAAGGCCATACTATCCCATTCTTATTCTTCTCCTTTCTCAAGTTCTCTCTTTTCAAATGTGGGATACCAAGTAAGTGCATGCGTGTTCACACTAGGACCTTTTTACTTACTTGTGGATGTAATTGCGGCCAGATACATCCACGTCCAACTGTAAATGTGGTCAGATATATTTAAGATTAGTGCTAGTGTGAGTATGTCCTAATATGGTATGCAAATGTGGCCTTGTTTATTATCAATTGTGATGTAATTGTTGCAGGCTCATGAGCTGTGCAGTCTGCAGTTTTGTGTTATTTACATGGTGTTGTTTTTGTTTGTCGTTTTTCGTTGTCTGTGTGTTGTGGATGTCCTGATGCTAAATGTTATGTTGTCCCTGCATGGGGAAAATCTCGGCCGAATGTGGCTGTGATTCATGTCAGATCCATACATGATAGACGGAGGTCTCTTGTCATTTTGTGTGCTAATAATGAGGGTGAGGTCGCCTTTTTCCGTGTTCTTTCATCATTCGCTCAACATACGGCACGGATATCAAGGCTGTTGATTATAGCGAAGAGTTTCTATATGGAGTGGACGTGCCAACGCTGAGGAGCAGACATGATGGGATGTGGCTGTGCCTAGAACCTTACCGTGAAAAAAAAAAGACTATCTGAGAGGACAGTTTGATTGGTGGTGTATTCCGGTCTGACATAGTGACGAGTACATGGGCCATGAAAAAGCTTCAAGACAAACAATCTTGTGAGGATGAAATAGGTCCAAAAAAACACATAATCCTGTTGCCCATTTCCTGCCTCCCTGTTATGACTTAGCCTCTCTGTTTCATGCAGCAAGGTTGTCGGGTCAGAGAATTCAAGAGTTGGAAGATTTTAGCAAAGAGGACCTTCCACAGTCGGGGTTCTTTTGGAGGATCAAGTTATTCATTTTTAAGCAAGCGAGCAATTTCGGCTTCTTCACAATTCTTCTGTTCGCGTCGGTATGTCCATGCTTTTCCCAACGGTACTATGCATGCGTATGCCCTTAAATTCTTTGATAAGTAGCAGCAGCATTTTTTCGTATGTGATCTTGGTTCTTGCCAGGAAGAGTTTATCAAAACTGTGATTTTGCCAGGAATAGTTTTCTCCTGGTGAGTGAGAAGCAGGGTTGTCACGCAGGGATCCCCAGGGCCCGAGCCGGGGTGGGGGTTCTACTCCCGGACCCCCGCACCGACCCCCGCACCCCGCCATACACCCCGTGCCCCAACCCTGGCAACCCCGCCCACGGCCCTGCAACCCCGCCCCTGCCCCCGCTCAACCCCGCCCCCGCCAGCTATTGGCCCCGCCCACGGCCCCGCACCCGCAGCTACCCCAGCCCCCCAATGGTGGCTGTGGCCCTGGGGGGGGTCCGGGGTGGGGCACAAAACCCCATTTTTGGAGTTTAGCCC